GCGACACCTGCATCCAATGCTTTTGTGACCTGATCGTAAAAGGCAATCAGGTTGGTCTGACATGACCTGCCCCTAATGAAACCGTGCTGGTTGCCCTTGAGCATCATCCCCGATGCCTGCCCATCACAGTTGTGCTCCTTGATGATCTTCTTAAAGAGTTTCCCCAGGATTGAGGTAAGACTGATGGGCCTATAGTTGCCCGGGTCCTCCTTCCTCCCTTTTTTAAAGATGGGGACCACATTGGCTATCTTCCAATCATCTGGAACCTGGCCCGAGCACCACGAGCGCTCGTAAAGCCATGCCAAGGGCCCTGCAATAACCCCTGCTAGCTCCCTCAACACCCTGGGGTGGAGAGCATCTGGACCTGCTGACTGGAACACATCCAGCCCCTCCAGAAGCACTCTAACCCGGTCCTCCTCAACCTTAGGTCTTGAGGCGTTCCCCTCGACTCCATCTTGAAACACGGTGGGGGAGTCCCGGTCCCTGCACTTCTCTTACTCAGACTGAGCAGACTCAGTTCCTGGAGTCTCTCCTCATAGGGCCTATCCTCCAGGCCCCTTATCATGCGGGTAGCCCTTCTCTGTACCCTTTCGAGTTTATCCACATCTGTCCTGAAGCGTGGTGCCCAGAACTGGGCACTGTACTCTAGCTGTGGCCTCACCAACGCCAAATAGAGGGGGAGGAGCACCTCTCTGGATCTATTGGCAATGCTGATCCCCATCCCCAAGAGTGATGGCACAGAGGTCATGTGTTGCTAGGCCCTGCCATAGAGGCAAGATTAGGCAATTGCTATGTAGACATTGTACCTGGGGACCCTCCATCCCCACCCCTGGAGCAACCAGACAGGCTGTGAACAAAGGGCTAGAGAGCCCTTGTTTAGCAGTGCTCGTGCAGCTTACCACCACTATATAAGCTGCAGAACTGAGCCTGCAGATAGCAGGATGTTGCTTTGCTGATCAAGGTAAGTAGCAGCTCCTGGGCCCTGTTACAAGGGAGCTGCTGCTAAGGGTCAGTATACATGCAACACTGCCAGCACCAGGACACAGCTCGAGCTCCCAGAGTCAGGGGTGTCCAAGACAATCCCAGCTTTTTCTTTAAAAAAAGAATAAGGCCCTGCCTAGCCTGGCTGGCTAAACAGCTCCAATGAATTGCAGCTCAGGAAGGAACCTTACAAAGAGTGGGAACTTGGCTGCAGTTCCAGGGAGGAGAAATTAGGGTATCACAGGGGCGCACAGAGAAAACCAGGAAGGCCAAGAAAGATGCAGCTGGCCAGACACAAATGGGAGCAGAAAAGCCTTGCGCCAGTATGTCAGAAGATAGAGGGCCTCTGCTGCTGCCTCTGCCCTGGTTCTGCTGGGCCTGGACACAGGGGGCAGAGTGGAGAGGAGCCGGGGGGCTCAGGGCATCACTGCTCAGCACAGATGGGTGCATAGTGTCCATGATGATCAACTTCTCCATCTGTGATGGGGTATCAGGCGACAAACACAAAAGTAATGACTTCCCTCTCCCCAGTCGTGTCCTGCCACAATAGCCTGGGCAGAGCCTGCAGACACGGATGGATAGACAGGCCACTGTAACAGGGCTGGGCCCTGTTACTATGGGAGCAGGGAAGCCTGAGCAGCCACACACCCTGGGAGCACCTCCATGCCCACCCCCAGACCTGGACGGACTCACTAAGGCTGAGGATCCAGGTCCTGGGAGCGAGTCTCCTAGCAAGGGAGCTGACACAGGTTTGGTGAATGAGG